TGCAGTCATAATGAATTTAAAGCTAGAACGAACACCTCAGGATGTATGATTTAGTAAAAACAGTCCCTTCAGCGTCTATTATTAAGTCTCATTTCTTAACGAAACATTGATTCACTCCTGGGCCCCTGAAGGCATTTCACTAGACTCTGCTGTCCGGCTGGGTTGCTCAGGAACAGAGTGTACAGCATTCGAATACCACCTCAGATTGTAATATTTTCTACTTCCAAACAGAGTGTTTCATCCTCAGGTCAGACAACCATGGCAGAGCTACACACCCCCTGTTAGAAACCTGACAGGGTTTCCATCCATGAAGGACACAGCACGGGCACTGGCTGGAGAGGAAGAACTTGCTGCTTCCTCCTCTGTGCACGTGTTCCTTAGTGACAGAGTCTGGCTAGACCTGAAATGCAGCCAGGGGAAGACAGACTACAAAGTCAATGCATTCCTTTTCTGTCCTATCCCCTCCCCCACCCCCATGACAGCAGGGTAAGGAAGGGGATGAGCAGCTTAGTCTGACCCAGGAAAGCTTGTCCAAACTCTGATGTACCCAATTTTGTGGTATTTTTTCCATCTTATATATCAAATAGGCTTGTGTGATCCAATGGGATCGCCTGAACACCCTTTGTCGCATGTCCTTCTATTAAGAACTGGCCCAAGCGACAGCAATCAAAGAAGTCTCTGAAACACCAGCCGTTTCTATGCCAGAAGGTTCCTGTTCCACTGAAGGGTTATGGATCGATCTGGATTGCTAGAGAATTTTAAATGTACATTCAAATAACTTGGACTGACACCAGTATTTATTCCCTAATATAGATCCAGTTTAGGATGGCAACTCAGTCATGTTAAAGTCCCACTAAATGCTAAGTTCTGCATGATAGAAATAGTTCCATTTCTGTATCATGTATAAATATAAAGACTTCTACTTTGATAGAAGGCAAAAATCTTCTACGATTTATTAAAATATGGAAGTAGCATTACTGAACAACAGAGAGTGAATCCATGAAAAGGTTGGATACTCTGAATTTATAGGCTCTTTGGGGATGAGGTAGAGGACAGCAAGATATTTTGGCAGTCGGGAAAGGGGAAAAGAGTATGGGATGGACAGGACTCCACTTGGTGCTGCATGGTATCTGGTAGGGTGTCCAGGGCGAAGGTTAGCCAAAATGTAGCTGGACGGTTGAGGCATGTAGGAGAGCTGGGACAAAGTCCTGTTCTTAATGAGTGGAGAAAAAGTAACTCAGAAAAGTAAATGCTGGTGACTATCAGCAGGTGGCTGGTGATGTTTGGCTTGGATGGTGGCCAAGGTGGGCTGAGGGCAGGGGCGGGAGGGGGGGAAGCAAGCGTGGAGAAGGTTGAGGCACTTGGGGGAAAGAAAGCAGGCAGGAAGGGTGGACCGAATGTGGGTCGGAACTCCCACAAGGTAAGGTTCCTTGATACTAGGTGTAGGATGCTGAGGATGGCCACACTCAGAGTGATGTTCCATGTGTTCTTTGACAACCTCTTCCCTCCTCACAGGGCTCTCTCTGCCTCTGCCTCTAGGGTCCATTTCGCCACAGCTGCTTTTGTTCTAGGTCTCACCTGAGTGGACATTGCTCACAAAGCCAAATTAGCATGGAAATCAGCTCCACACACGGAGGCATTTAAATTCTGGTGACTGAGAGGAATACATTCATGTTACAGTACTGTTCTGAGGAAAGACTCCATAATTTGATTCTCAGTCTCCAGAGGGATACAGTAGGGAAACAGAAAAAGATGACGGCCACCGCGAGTGGGTTCTGATGAGACAAATTAAGTAACTTTGCACTCGATCTGAACTGAGGGGCCGCATGTCTCTTAGGGTGCTGTGGAATTACACCACCAAGAAAATTCCAGGTACTGTTCATATATCATTATTGTTGTGTACTTTTTACTTCATGCAAGACCGCCTATTTGCAGAAAAGAAGAAAAAGACTGTTAGATAAAGAGTTTAAGGTCTTGCTTTTCAGAGGAATGATTTCGAATTGTCTTCAAAACACAACACAACACAAAACAAAAACCTCATTTTACTATCACAGTGCAAATCATTTCTATCACATGCACTGAAATTTGTTATTTTTTTTCCCTTGACGAACTAGTTGTCTTTAAGAGTTTAAAAGAATCTTATGGTCATATATGCATGGTGAACTATTTTTAAGTATAGATCTTTAATTTTTTGCCAATCATTTTATTTTGCCATGGCATAAAAATCCAAGATTTTTGGATTAAAAAACTCTGTAAGGTGGAAGAGGAGAAAAAAAAAAAACTGCTCTGGAATAATGGTGTTTAGTCTTCAGAAGAATTTAAGAACTTTAGGAGACTTTATAACACAATTGAAATGGGGGCTATGGTTCAAATATTGTTTTAACAGAAAGTTTCCACTGAGTTTTCTGTTCTAAAAGAGCCCTGCATTGCTCTGCCATTATTTGGGTTTAAAGCCATAATTAAAGGCCAAGGCCATGGCCTTGATTCCACATTAGTCATCTTTTATGGTAAAAGTACCCCAGATGGGATGAAGATTCTTCCTGGGACTGAGATAACACATGTGGTTCAAGAAGGTAAAGAAGGTAACAGGTGGTCTCATCTCAGAAAGCCTCTTTGCTGCTGATTATCGTGAGTCCATCTGAGGGGGTCTAAACTGAAGGATCAATGGGGCGGCTGCCGGGCCACTCCCACCACCAAGCGATCCGCTTCCGGAACAGAGTTGCCTTCTGACGGGAGAGTATTCAGGTATTTCCTACGGTGATCTGAGAAATCAGGAATTACTACTGAAGCTGGGAAGTAAATAGACATCGATCAAGCATATACACAGGTGGGCTGTTAGACTAATTTTCACATGATAAGCAAGGAAGTCAGAGAATTCACATTCGCATGTGCTTTTTTTTTTCCCCAAGTACACTTGCATGTTTAAAGTTTGGCACAATGTGAGCCCCCAGGTGTAGGTTAGCATACTGTAGAATCACGTCGTTACACCAATTGAACCAGATATCTCTTTTAAAAATATCACATTTTAATATAAAAAGCTATACTATAAATTACTACATAGTAAATTCAATACTCTGAAAAAATACCACCCTGGAAAACCACATCAGAATTTCAAGTTTGCGTTAGAGAAGGTTCCCAGCAAACTTGTTTAAAATGGTATTCATGCCCCGGAATGCTGCACGTGCTGTAGCTTACTGGGGGTGCCCTAGCACCCCCGGAAGTTGATTTTTCTAGGCTGGTTCACTGAGGTTCATAAATATATTGTTTTGTTTTTGTTTATAGGTCCAAGTCGACTTAGGTTCCTGATTACTGAGGAGATAGATCAATGCGGAGCTAAAAAGAAACTTTGCTAGAAAAGAGATCTAGTAAAGGCACTAAATATTTCCAAAACCCAAACTCCAACTACTTACATTTCTGGGGGTAAAAAAATAAAAGACAAAAACTAAGTGGCCATTTTCGTTACTTAAACCTTGTTTCCCCTTTTGGTCTAAAGCTCATATGATGTTCTGTGAGAATTTCTCTTTTTCCTTTCATAAAGATCATTTCTAATCCTGTAACACAGGTCACCTGCACAATATAGAGGGCTATTAAATGAAAGGACTGTAGGCAAAGGAAACAAAACAAAACAACAAGAACCAAACCCAGATGTTAAGAACAAAAGACATCCCCAACTCGAAAAGTTCTAAGGTTGGGGACATCAAATGAACATTTATGCTATCATCTATGTTTTGTCATTTTCCCACTTTCCTTGCAGTTAATACATCTCTGTACAACGTGATGCTGAATAAAATCAACATATGGTATATGCATTTAAACAGAAGAGATCTGGCATGAATTCTCTGAATAGTATCTTTAAATAAACCACCCTGTCTTAAAAAATATTAGTGATTTTTTTCCTCACACGAGATCCTGGGATCGAAAAATGCAGAACAGCCTCATGTTTGTAGGCTTACAGTCACCTTTCTATTTTCTTGTCTGGAACAAAATCTAAAAGGAAGCAACCTAACGTGTTGTACCAGAAATGGATGACGGATGGATGGGCCAAAGAAAACACTCATCCACGATTCTTTCGTGACAAAAACTCCTACAGAACAAGTCAGGAAGTAAGTCTAAGACGAAAGCTTTGTGGGAACCCCAATGGAGAATTTCGACAATATTATTTACTATGAACAAATGGAGCAGTTTTTTTTTTTTGTTTGTTTGTTTTAAATCAGCATGTTTAAAATTCAAGTCACCCTTAATTAACCAAAAAGTGTTTAAGCAGTGCGGTCGTGTCCTACTGGATAGCTGTGAGCATCTCTTCAGGCACTTCACTGGTTCATTAACACAAGACAAATTAAAGCTATAAACACATAAGGTTGTGCTCTGTGAAGATAGTCTAATCAAGCAACATAAACCAATGCAAAAATGTGACTTTCTGGATGCTTATTCCTCCCCTAAGACTTGATATTTTTTTAAAACCAGTTGTCCAAAGAGATTTTTTTCCCCTGGGGAAGGGGGTGCTTTGGCATTAGGAAAAGAATATCGTTCAACCCCAGTAAGGCAAAAGCCTTGTGCGATAAAGAAATTGGAACAAATTTCTTTATGGCTCTGTTCAAAAGGACACTTCTGCAATGACGTAATGGTGGGGGGGTGGCGGGGAGTTCCGCGGAGTACTTTTTCCCAACATATTGCACTTTTTTTTGTTGTTGCTGTTCAATCACATTAATGCATAGAAACACAATTTTTACCTCTGAATATTCAACTGTTGAACCTATTAGAAGGAAAATAACAGGAAAGAAGTTCTAAAGGCCTACTAGGAAAAAAATACAAGTATATTAACCTTCCTCTGCTTAACTGCAATACAGAAAACACTATGAGAAAAGAAAAATGTGCAAAGAAACTTTTTGGTCAATCTTGTGTGGGTACAGGCTAGGACGTGCCGACCGAATGAACTGTGAGCAGCTCTGTGAACACTGATTACCCCTGTGACCGAGGATGGCTGTCCGTGATAGAAAGGATTGTGCATAATTTCACTTTTAATATATACATCTGATATGGAAAACGGAAACTTGTGTTTCCGAAGAGAAAGAAAACAGCTGAATTTGGCATTTCAGTAGCATGCTATAGAATTCATCATGATTAATTTCACATTAAATTATGGACAATGGCTGTATCACATTTCACGTTATCGCCAATAGCAGTAAAAAAAACCAAAACCAAAACAAAACAAAAAACAAACAAAAAAACCCAAAAACAAACAAAAAAATCCCCCACAAACAGTGCCTGACAAATAATCTCCTGGGGACACAGACACGTGTCCTGTGAGCAGCTTAGTTCAACAGCGCATGCTTCTCCTCCACCAGATTTAGGACACAACATTAAAGTTTAGAATGGCCAGAGGAGGTCATTCTGTGCTGAATTCCACTAGCTGAAAAACAATTGCTTGAGCAGATTGTAAGCGCTTTTTCCTTACTCAAAAAAAAAAAAAAAAAAAAAAGGAAAGAAAAGAATACACATACGTACAAACCCCAAAGCGCTGAAGTTAAGCATTAATAAACCAAGTTCATGATTTATGATCAGTATCCAAAAAATCCAGCTATAAAACAATGCAAAGTAGTGCTCCTCAGTATTATTTTTGCAATTGTTAGTAATGTTAAGCATCAAGAAAAAGAAAACACGTCATTGCACATTACAGCCGCCAGAAAGAACGGCTAAACTTTGCCACTAGAGAATTGAAAAATTTTTGATGCTACATCACAAACAGCTTCTGATGTGTGTCTTGTGTGAAAAGGTCTTTCCACACGTATGACATGTTCGCTGGGTGATGATGCTATCAGGTCAAATGTCGAGTTATGGCACGAAGCGCATAAAGGAGTTCAGCCTGCATCCGTGCTTCCATTAGAAGTAGATTCACATGAACCTAGAAATGAAAATGTTATCTCCTTAGTGACCGGTATAAACAACTGAAAAAAACCTACTTTTTTCCTTTAAACATATCAGACATTCATGAAGGTTTACCATGCAAATGGGTGTTATCTACACACATAAATGATGTAACGTTCATGACGAAAGCTATTAAAAAAAAAAACAATGGGTCTTGTGAGCAGTGAAAATGACTGCTAAAAGCCTGGAAAATACCAATCATTATGTCAATATATATATTAGGAAAAGCCAATCAATCTCCTGGATTATGCAATAACTTTTTAAAACACACACACACACACACACACACACACACACACACACACACAGGAATACTATGCAGCCATCAAAAACCCCCAAATCTTGCCATTTGCAATAGAGGCTATTACGCTAAGTGAAATAAGTCAATCAGAGAAAGAAAATTATCATCATATGATCTCACTGATATGAGAAATTTGAGAGGTAGGGCGGGGGGGTCATGGGGGGAAGGGAGGGAAAAACAAAACAAGATGGGACTGCAGAGGGAGACATACCATAAGAGACTCTTAATCTCAGGAAACAAACTGAGGATTGCTGGAGGGGAGTGGGTGGGAGGGATAGGGTGGCTGGCTGATGGACAATGAGGAGGGTATGTGCTATGGTGAGTGCTGTGAATTGTGTAAGACTGATAAATAACAGACCTGTACCCCTGAAAGAAATAATACATTATATGTTAATGATATATATATATATACATATGTATATGTATATATATATTTATTTATAAATGACAACTTTCCTGCAAGTGCTACTATCTTTCAGTCATCAAATCTTATAGGTCTAAATCTTAGAGGTCTAAAAATCAGCTCTACACTCATTAGAGCCTATGTTCATTACTTGGAAAGCTTTTAAGCAACATTTTTAAACAATATTTCTTACTGGATCCTTGAAAGATCCTAAGGTGAAAACCTGAAGCCGAAAGCAGTTTGTAATTAGCGTCTGGTCCTTGTTAGATTTGGGTAGCTTCCCTGTAGTCTTTCTGATACAACTGTGAACAAGCCTCTCTAAGTTTTGGGGGAGATACACCCTAGCTGATAGATTAAAATGAATATCCACTTTTTATTTTGAAATTTACTACAATGTTTTTGATATTACATTTATTTTGATAATGTTCTACAGGTTAGACATGCTGTTAGGTATATTCTCTTGATGAGTTAAGAGAATTTCTAGATACAGCCTGGTAAAGGGAGAGAATCTTATGCAAACATATAAACAGGGCATAGAGATCTATCAAGAAGTCATGCTGGCAGTAACACAGGTATTTATCTGATGTGGGATTGTCTCTGAGGCTTCAAAAAAATCAGTTAGGTTTGGAGGTTGTAACATCCTCTGCCAAGGTCATAGAATTAACTAGTGACTATTGGGACCCTAAAGAGATTTTCTTACTCTCAAAATCTTAGAAACTGGTATAAATGGAAGATTCTTCGACTTACAGGTTGAAAAGACCTAGGATATAAGGTTCTTACACTATAATGTTGGTAGAGATCCTTAACATTTATTAGGTCTTAAATAATGATTTCTATACATTTCATCCAAAGAAATATTCTTATATAATGGTACATACATTTGGCCCAAAGGTCATGCATTAGATTATCAAAATACTAAATTACCAAGTTGGAATGAGAAACTGTTGTTCTAATAAGTCAACTCTAGTGGCTAGAGTTAATCTCTAATCCGACATTCCTTCTGGGCCTGGCCCAATCATTAGGCTTGATTTTTATGAATCATGAGAATGGTAGACATTTTCCTAAAGGTACTTTAAAAATATCAATATCTGGACCCAGCCTTTCAAAGGCTGATGCTACAAGTGTGCTGTACCCACCATGTTGGCCGAAACACAGAACCAAAATTTAGTTAATATTCAATAAACCGGAATTTAAACACATTTTGAAAAGACAGCTGAATGATGTCACTTCTTTTCTTTAATGGCACTAACTTACCAGTATTTTCCTGTATAATGTTTGCTGATCGTTACTAATTATACGAGACACAAGCCTAAGGGGTCTATAACGTCAAGTCATGAAACACACCTTTTCTGAGTGCTTGAACTGACGCCAGTAACTATCGTACATGCGTTTGGTGGTTCTCTCCGGATAGCAGGTCACTGTCTTAATGTAAACCTTCAGGCTTCGTTCAAGTAATTGATTAACTTCTCCATAATCATAGTCATCATACCTACAGGCCAAAGACAAATGAAAAAACCAAAATTTCTGATTTCTATGTTGGTATCAAGAGATGTTTATGGTCTAGCAATTCAATACCAAAAACTCATTAACTAATTGTTGTCACAAATATTTCTCGGTGCCCGTTAGGTGCTGTGTCCTTTCCATGGAGCTTTCTAGGCACTGGCGATACAGAGATGAACAGAATAAACAAAGATCTCCAGTCCCATGGAGTTTCAATCCTATTGGAGAAGAAAGTTAAAACATAGACAAGCATGTGATCTGTCGGGGGGTGTTCACTGCTGTGGAGGGAAAGGGAAAGGAGGCTGTGAGAAGAAAAGCTGCGCTTTTTAGGGAGGGGGCAAGGCTGTTCTCTGAGGAGAAGGTGTCAGTGGAGAGCCCTGAGGTGGGGGGCAGAGGGAGTGACCCACTGTGTCCCATGCTGCTGACAAATCAAATGCGACAGGAACTGGGCCCTGAGCCCTGGGAGCAGGCGTGAGGAGGGTCACAGGCAACCTCACCCAAGAGGGGTTTTGTTGGTGTGGTGCTGTAGTGCATTCAAGACAGAATGAGGGATAAAATAGCGAGCAAGTAAACAACACTTTGTCAAAGAGATGGGCTGTGTGTGGGAGCAGGAAGACAAGGCAAAGGCTAGTAGAAGGCAAAGAAGGAGGAAGAAAGGAATTTTTTTCTAAAGATGAGAGAAGTCACAGCAGTGTGTATATACTGATGGGAAAGATCCAGTGAAGAGGGTAAAGTTGGTTTTGCAAAAGAGAGAAGGAAGAATTTTTTTTTTTAAGTAGGGGCTTGAACTCACGACCCTGAGATCAAGACCAGAGCTGAGATCAAGAGTTGGATGCTTAACCGACTGAGACACCCAGGGGCCCCGGGAACAAGGAACTTTTATTTTTATTTATAGTTGACATACCATATGATATGAGTGATAGGTGTAGGACACAGTGGTTCAGCATTAATATGCTCCATAAAATGCTCCCCACCAATGTAGTAACCATCTGTCACCATACAAAGTCATTACAATCTTACTGACTGGAGTCCCTGGGCTGAGACACTGCATCTCCATGACTTACTTACTTTGTAACCGAAACTTTGACCTCTCGATCCCCTTTACCCATTTAGTGAAAATGACTGCTAAAAGCCTGGAAAATACCAACATTAGATTATCAAAATACTAAATTATTTTTAGTAATTTGTAAAAATCAAACCTCTCCCCCCACAGCCATCAGTTTGTTCTCTATATCAGTCTGTTTCTGTTTCCTGGTTTTGCTTTTTAGATTTACCCGCAGGTCACAGAGATCACAAGTAGGCAGAGAGGCAGAGAGAGAGAGAGAGAGAGGAGGAAGCAGGCTCCCCGCTGAGCAGAGAGCCCAATGCAGGGCTCCATCCCAGGACCTTGGGATCATGACCTGAGCCAAAGGCAGAGGCTTAACCCACTGAGCCACCCAGGCGCCCCTTCAGTTAATTTTTAACCCAAACATATGCTTAGTTAAAAAATAAAAATTCAAAAATCTTATATGAGCTTTATTTGGTAGCATCCAACATGTTAATATAATCACTATAACATTTGTCATGTATCGTCTTAAACATAATTTATCACAATTGAATTCAATTATTAGTATTTATTTTTCTTAAAGTAGGTAGTTATGACGTACGTGTTTTAAAATGTGATGATTCAGTGTTAAGTTATTATCTGGAATGATAAATGAGCAAACAGCATAGTTAACTACCATTGTGCCAGTGTCTTCTAGGTAGAATGCTTGACTATTAGCTGATGTTTCAGGAAAATTTTTTTACATTAAAATGATAGAAAATACTTTGCTTAGCAAATTGAATTCTAACTCCATGCCATAAAGGCTTTCTGTGACTATATTAGAAAGGAGAAAGTAGAGTCAAATTGAATGTATTCATAACTGGGCATTTTTTCTTTTGCAAATCTATCTCCATAAACGCCTTCAAAACCCAGCTCAAAAAGGCACATTCTCCCAAAAAAGCTTTCCTGATTAGACCATTCAATCTCACTCACTCATTTACTCACTGTCCTCTCCATGCCAATTTTCTAAATTTAGAGGCCATTAATTTATATTGACTGATAGTTTCATTTCAGTGTTCTTATGTGAGCTTTATGAAGATACAATCTATCCCAGTTTTATTTATACCCTAATTACCATTCCTTTAAAAATAAACAAACAAACCAGCATTTATTACAGTGGGCCAAAGAGGCATAATACACGTTCCTTAACTGCCTAATTCTTCCAGGAAGGATACTTAAATTGAGTCTGATTCTATTGTATCCCCCAATGATTACTGATACTTTTTTCCTCCTCCTTAGTAAATTCTCATTACTGTATTTACAGGTGCATGCTAAGATTCCAAACAGTCAAACAAGGAAAAATGTTCTATAAACTGGAAGTCATTTTTCAAAATCAGAAGTCCACTTGTAGTATTTTTCTCCCCAGGGCTCTATAGCACTAAAAAGGACAGGAGCAAAACTTGGGTCAGAACTGTCACTTAGAAATGTTTAAAATGGTCTCGACGACGAACGTACCTGATTCCAAACATACAGTGAACGTAGTTAAATAAAGCTCTGCGCAGCGTGGTTGTATCAACATCCTCATGGGAGGCCATAGTGTTATAGGTGAGATTGTAGACCATGCGGAACTTCTCATCAAGAAGATGTCCAATGTCAGAATAAAGTCTGTTCACCAGGGAGAACCCATGATTTTCCCAGGTATAGTCCTGAAAGAAGAAATTGTATCCAGTTACCAAATGGGCAGTCTCCATTTAAATTCCATGTTTGTGGGAAACAAGTACTGAAGCAAGGAAGTGAAGATATTTCAAATGTATTCTAAGTTGACAGCCTTACTAAGAACCCTTCACATCGGTTCCTGGATCAGAGCGCCATGCGGTTTCCTCAGTGGGGTCCCTGGTTGGACATATTGGTGATGAACTCTGGCCTCCCCCTGAGGTTGGGTACTATGCAAACTACATCCTTATCTGGAAGATCCCCAGGAAATCTGAGAAAATTCCCGTGTGACCAAACCTACTCAGTGACATGGACAATTAGCAGATTAGTGAAACAAGTGCAAAGGAGTCTGTCTTAATTCAAACTTCCACTCTCTTTGGGAGAGAACTAGAGAACTAGAGAGAACTAGAACTACTGGTATATGATCTTACTACAAAATGCCATTTTATTATAAATGTATCTTTATTGCTTGATTTTCTCCCTGCTCCTTAAGAAAAAAAAGGGTATGAATATTATACAATTACCATGTAATGTTGCAAGTAACCAAATGAAACCATTTCCTTTTGCCTTCTTAGAGGGGGAAACATTGAAATAATAATTTATCTACTAGGAGATCAAATTAGACTGGGCCAAAAACGAGATTACATAAAAAGATCTACAGACTCTATCAATTTAGAAGCCAATGGACTTACATCTCAACATTTCACAGTTAAAACGACAATATTTCTTCTCTAGTTTCTCTGAGTTAAAGGCATCTTATACCTGAGCTCGGAATGTTGGCAAATGTTCTTCTCCTCGTCTGGCAAAGTCCTCATACCCAAAACCAGGGTCTTCAATATATCGGGAGACATCAGATGTTATAATCATGTCATCTTCAAAATCTGAGGACAATAATGAGCAATCTAGAATAAAGGAAACTGTGTATAGAACAATGAAATGCTCCATTTCCTTCCACTTTTTAGCTTTCCCATGGATTTTTTTTTTTTAATTTATTTGACAGACAGATCACAAGTAGGCAGAGAGGCAGGCAGAGAGAGACAGGAGGAGGAGGCAGGCTCCCCGCTGAGCAGAGAGCCCGATGCGGGACTCGATCCCAGGACCCTGAGATCATGACCTGAGCCGAAGGCAGAGGCTTTAACCACTGAGCCACCCAGGTGACCCTCCCATGGATTTTTGAAGTGACAATATTGACTTCCTGGCTTACGTTTGAATTCAATTTCAATTCAATTGCGTTACCAAATACTGGCAATCTTAACATTTAACTGTACTTGTCTGGGCAAAAACGACTCCACTGAAACAGCTAAGCAGTAGCAGTGAAGAATCAATATCCTAGCTTTCCTTATTCAGAAGAGGAAGATGGCACAGTGCTTTGAGGACAGAACTTAAATATTTTTTGAACTCTTACTTGATGAAGTGGGGTATGGGGAAAGAGAAGACAGGAAGGTGAAGATAACTTGAGTGGACTTTAATGTTAAGATAGATTTTGTTAAAATTTAACGGTACTTCATATGGATGTGTTCATGCTGAAAATCAGTGCAATCTCATCCATTTTTGGCTCACAAAGAGGCATTTAGGGAGAAGGTCTGGGAAGGGAATTGGAACAAGGAGGAAAGTGACCTTCTGGGTGCCACCATTATTCAGAGTTGGCTTGGACACTAGAATAGGAAGGGTCAGTTTGAGAAAATCCATTGAGTTTTACACCTAACCCACCTGCGCTTTTCTATGTACATGGAAATAAAAAGGCATATAAAGTACGAAGTAAAACAATGTGTTGATGAGATTGTGATCAGAATATTATAAGTGGCATTCAGGAAGATAGGAAGACTACAACAATCTTTTCAGATGGCTGACTTCTGCATACTTGATAATATTAAAAATCTACCACTGAAAAATTTAAGTGCCCAATGCATGTTAATTTTCCTTCAAGAAGATTCTAACTCACTTTTTTTTTTGGGTAGTTAGTCTGTCTTTATAATTACTTTTTTCTGATTTCAATCACCGAAAGGGAATGAACAGCTTTTATTTACCAACTCCTATTCTAGAAAATGAACATAATGTTTTCAAAATTTAAAAAAAGGCTCCTTCTATGCAAAGAATATTTTCTTATTAAGAATTTTAATCAATATCAAATAAATGTAATACTTAATAATTAATAAACAATTATTAAACAGTTTCTAAAACAATTTTTTAGCATTTTATTTACTTACTTGAGAGAGAGAAAGATAGTACAACCATGAGGTGGTGAGAGGGGCACAGGGAGAGAGAGAAGCAGACTCCTTGCTGAGCAGAAAGCCCTACTCGGGGCTCCATCCCAGGACCCCGAGATCACGACCTGAGCTGAAGGCAGACGCTTAACCTACTGAGTCATTCAGGCGCCCCACCTCAACAATTTGATGGCATAAGAACTGGACAGTCATGAGTTTAAAAGAACAGTTACAATTACAGTAATTCATCCAAAAGATGTAGTAAATTAGTAGTGCCTTCATTATCTTACTCTTTGCTATTTCATGAAAATCCTAGCAATAATTACACTTTCCTCACAAGGTTGAATCCTTAGGTCACTGCCATGGACTAATAGGGTGCTTGATAATGTCAGGAAAGATCAACTACCAAGGCTATCCAACTCTGGAAATATTAAAATTCTTACCTCACTTCTTTATTACCCATGATGCAAAGAGACTGACATTTGTTGAGCATTTTTTTAATTTGTTTGTTGTGAGAGCCCAGGCAGGGAGAGTGGCAGGGCAGAGGGAGAAGCAGTCTCCCCGCTGAGCAGGGAGCCTGATGTGGGACTTGATCCCAGGACTCGGGGACATGACTTGAGCCAAAGGCAGACATTTAACTGACTGAGCCACCCAGGCGTCCCTGCTGAGTACTTAATATATACCAGGTACTATGCTATATGCTTAATATCAATTTTTTGTTTTATTAATGCAAAAAGAAATACCTTCTTAAGAAATTAGTAAACTAACTATATGTACTAATAGCACTGTCTGTACCGTAAGTAAGAACTACAACGCAAATTAGTTTAGGATGGTGTGGAAAATTTGTGAACTCTGAACTACTTAATCTGATCTGAAGCTTTTAAGTGACTTTCAGTTTTCTAAAGTGAAATCTCGGGCTTATCCCTAGCCCAACCCACGACAGCTGCTTTGTCTCCTTGGGCTGCAGAACTCTGTTCGGGTAAATGGAAACACGTGAAAAATGGTGTTTTCAATGTTTTGTCTCTCCATATTTATGAATGAGGTTATGTTTTCCTTAATTCAGTCCATCACATACTAATCAACAGAAACAAAGCAAAAAAAAAAAAAAAAATCAAAAATGTGGTTAGCGATCACCGACCCTGCTAAGAACACTAGGAGTTTTGTGGGCTGTGAGGTAAAATCAAACCCAGGATGGTGAGTGAGAACTAAAGTCTGCAAAACAAGTTTCTCCCCTGATGTGATCTCTCCACCCACACTGCACAAGCAGTTGATTTCACTGGGCAAATACCGATTCTGGAGTGGAAGATCACACAGCTGGTTCATTTGATGTTGATGTTAGTTTCTGATTTGCCCGTAAACATTTTCAACTTGTCATACGACTTTGAAACATTTTAAAATAAACAATAATGAGCACCTGGACTCCAACAAGATAGAATTTATCCTATGAATAATATCCATTTATTCATTTTAAAATTAGGAGTCAGTCAAGACCTGTCTTCTAGACCATTTTGTTCATAGAAAGAAATGTACACAGGTCTCTCAAACTACAGATCCTTTTTTTCAAATTTAAGAAGTTAAGATCAGTACTCTGATCAACAAATCTAAAACTCCAATTTCAATTCTTTTTTTTTTTTTTTTTTAGATTTTATTTATTTATTTGACAGACAGAGATCACAAGCAGGCAGAGAGGCAGGCAGAGGTAGAGGGGGAAGCAGGCTCCCTGCTGAGCAGAGAGCCCGATGCGATGCGGGGCTAGACCTGAGCCGAAGGCAGAGGCTTAACCCTCTGAGCCACCCAGGCGCCCCTCCAATTTAATTCTAACTAAACAAATATTTCCAAGTCTGGACTCAAAGGAAATAGCATTTTGCACATTGGCTCAATTCTGCTGTCCCAAACATAATATAAAAAAACGCTCTATTATAGTAACGGAACAGCCTTCTAACTTGAAAAACAAAAAAAGAGTAAGAGCTGGTTAACTCTTACCAAGCTATGGAATACTACCTCTGTAGAACATTTTAAACATTTATTTTCTTCCAAAGGCTTGAACAGCTATTCTTAGAATCTCCACACGGAATCTGGAATGCTTTATCACACGGGTCAAACCAAGAAATTCATTATAGAAAAAAATACATTTCTATTTCCATTTTAAAACATGGTAAGGTTATAAAAAGGACTCATGTAGCTACTCCACAGAATCATTTTTCTGTTACCTTTGTGTGACCAGTAAATGTACAACTGGGAATGCTGAAGGGTAAACAACGAAATGACTTATTTCTTTGTCCGATTTACAAATGATACAGCCTCTTCTGTCAAAACTAGAACATAATTTTTGGCGAGAACCTAAGACTTGCTAGTCAAAATTCACTAACGAAGCAGGAGTCCCTGCTCAAGGATCCAAGAAGGTAGAGGCGGGAGCCCAAAATATATTTTCAAGGGGCATCTGGGTAGCTCAGTCAGTTAAGTGTCCAACTCTTGATCTCAGCTCGGGGCTTCATCTTGGGGTCATGAGTTCAAGCCCCACGTTGGGCTCCATGCTGGGTGTGGAGTCTACTCAATAAGAAAACAAAACAAAACAAAACAAAACAAAAGAAGCTCTCAGAAGAGCTTTGATTAAAGAAACAAAATCTAGTTTTTAAAATAATTTTTTTATTTTTTTATAAACATATAATGTATAGCCCCCGGGGTACAGGTCTGTGAATCGCCAGGTTTACACACTTCACAGCACTCACCATAGCAGGAAACAAAATCTATTTTCAACATTAAAAAACGACTAAGGGAAAAAAAACATTTATATCCCTCAAGCTCTAGTGATGTTCGAGAAGCTCTTAAAAATTAATGTCTAAAAGCAAATAGAGGGGTGCCTGGGTGGCTCAGTGGGTTAAAAGCAAATAGAGATTACTAGCCTTAATAAAAATCTTTACATTTTATAATCTTGGTTTCCCTTGAAGGTTCATCCTAGGCTTATGATTTTCCTCTGTCCCAGGTGTTCCCTCTGGATGGTTTTTATAAACAACTATCCTGGTTTTAACGCCCAATCATATGCTGATAATTTCCAAAATTTTTTCTGGAGTTTAAAAGCCTGTCCTGACCTTCAGACCATCTGCCAGGCCCTCATTACTGCGGGTGGTTTGTAGACTGGCAGCCTGGCCACCCCGTGGAGGAATGAGAGCCATGTGTCCTCTCAGGTCCTAGACCAGACTGAATCAGAATCTGCCTTTCGGTGAGATTCCCAAGTGACTCAATGCAATGGAAGGTTAAGAAGCAGTGTACTAGACATCTCCAGACTTCAGGTTTTACGGGCCTGTTAGCTCAAAATGTCCAAAATACGACAGGCTGCATGCTTCTTAAGGCTAGAAAGGTTATCATGATAAAGCCTCTGGTTACCTAACAGGCCTATGTGATGACATTACCTGCTTCATGATTTATGCCCACTCGCTCCTGTGCCTGGCATCCTGTTTCCTTAGCAGGGGGGCCTTGGCTCCATCGATTATTTACCACCAATGCCAGCCGCTGCCTGACTCCCTTGCATTCGAGTCCCTAAGACTGGAGGAAGTCTTCCTCGAGGATCCCTTTTATGCACAGTCTTTCCCCACTGAGGCTGGATTCAGGGTCCTCTTCTAGGTTCATATACTGCTCACACTCTGCTATGGATTGAAATTGTTTCTCTCCCACCAGCAAGGAAAGCGCCCGGAAGGCAGGAATCGTCTCTTATTTAGCCTGAAAACCTTAGTACCCACTACAGGGCTGAGACCATAAAGAGTACTCAGTAACTGCAGAATGGATATTAAGGCAATAACTAAAACACCAAGTTTCTTTATTTGGGATTTCCTGCTGCTTAGAAGCTCTGAGAAACTTGAACTTAATATAGTCAATGTGGTGGATAAAATCTTTCATAAAAAAGACCACAGGGGAGATGATAGAAAGGGTTTTTGTTCTTTCTGGCGAAACTTCTGAGAACTACTGGTCAATGCTATGTTTAACATTAACAAACAAGTTATGGCCCAATCAGTTACCCTTGGAATTTATGAGACTGATTGGCCTTAAGACTAAACATTTCTTAAACCAATGGAACTCTATTTTTAAAATGTTATGTAGATTGATGACTTTGGAGGGCTTCAGTTTTCTACTGTCAATGCTATTCTTTAAAAGACTTATTTTATTTTTTTTAAAGAGAGAAAGAGACAGAGTAGAGGGAGGGACACAGGGAGATGGAGAGAGAGAATCTCAAGCAGACTCCTTGGGGCTCAATCTCATGGCCCTGAGATCATGACCTGAGCTGAAACCAAGAGTCAGATACTCAACTGACTGAACCACTCAGGCGCCCCAGGGCTATTTTAATAATATTTACTATGTGGTGTTCAATATCTTTTTAGTCATGACTGAAAAACTGTCTAATTCAAAGTCTCTTAGAGTATTAGGGGGTTAAAAAGTATCTTTTTAAGACTAGAGCAAAGACGTCTAGCTTTTAATACAGAATGAATTCCTTCAAATTCAGTATAAGAAAATGACCTAAATAATGCATTTTTATAAAATCCCAAAGATGTCTCCAAAGAAATGCAAATGCGAGTACAATGTAATTTTAGAACTAATCTGGAAAAGTAGCAGCACAAGAACAATCCTCCCACATACTCCCCACACGCAAAAAAAGGCAGAGATGCATGTGTTGTTTTTTTTTTTTTTAATTTTATCTATTGAAAGAGGATTTCACTTATCACTTAAAAACATCAGAAAAGTAGAACAAATTAGGTATCTCTGTCTAGCTTTACAGGCAACTGCTCTGGCTTCAAATCGCGTTTTATCCAGGATGAGTGTGGACTACAAGGTTGGGAGTCCCTCTCAACTGGACCTGGAGTGTATTCAAAGATGCACCAAAAGAAGGGGTGGGGAATAGCATCGGGGGGGCTGTAGGAGGAGGAAATAAAAGGGACATGGTAGTAGAGGCACTTTTACAGATCCGTATGGAAAACATGGAATGTGGTCTGTCAGTGATGCAACAACCCAAAGGCAGACAGTACAGGGCGGGCTGGGGGAGCTCACCTGAATGTGGAAAGGAGTGAAAAGTGTCTCCAGAGACCACAAAAAGACTTTCCTTCTTCTCCTTCTCAAAACGAGTGGTCATTTCTTCCTGAGATGCCTCTTCATCTTCCCTCTCTTCTCGAAGTCTCTTCATTCTGTCCATCAAGGCCTCTAGCTCACTTAGGGAATCGACAATCTGGAGCCAGGTAAGACGGTGTTGGGTGTTAGTAATACCAAGAATTATTCCGGTAAAGGTCCCTGTCTAGTAAATGCCACCTGACTATGTACAGAGGTGTGGACCCTTAAGTTCCTAAGTGGGTTTTCCATTAATGCCAAAGAAAATCAAATGACAGATTCAAACGTTTTCCAGAGTATGATGTTTTTGCTGCAGTTATAAATCTAGAAAACTTATAAGTATAGATATATTTAATCTAGAATTTGAGCATTTGGTATATATTAAGTTATAGTTTATTTTTAAAAATAAGGTGACCTTATGATTTGTCATAATATCTATTTGCTTTATTATTTTTTCCAAAGATTTTATTTACTTATTTATTTGAAAAAGAGAGAGAGAGTGCATGAGCAGGGGCAGAGGGAGAAGCAGACTCCCTGCTGAGGAGGGAGCTCAGTCTTAGGGCCGCAGGATCACGACCTGAGCCAAAGGCAGATGCCTAAGTGACTGAGCCACCGAGGCACCCCTATCTATTTGCTTTAAAAGCCTTATCTTTAAGACAATTCAGAACTTCATGTACAAGTTAAGTTTTTACAGTAGTAAAAGTTGTACAGAAATAGTTCTAGTATACAATGTCCTGTTGAGTCAGACAAACTCTTTCTAGGTACTCTTCAGGCAAAACAGTGAAGAAAAACAAAGTTCAGAACACTAACCCCGAAGTTGTTGCCTGTAAGGGATGCATTCTCTATGTTGTTATCGTTGGCGAGATCACAAACACAGAAATTGTTGACTGATATTAGCCTGAATCCATTGGAGATTTCTGGATCTCTCTCCGGATTGATGCCACTACCAAAAACAAAGCTTGCCAAAGCATGATAATGTGCCAGTAGGACTACAGCGTGTACCAGCTCGGGCAGAGACCAGTTATTTTCTCCAGTTTTGACAAGTTTCTGTAATGAGAAAGTGAATCAAAGTAAGAATGAAAACCACAGAATGCTGCAAAGCAATTTTAGAAAGCATGGAAAATCCACCAAATTTTTAGGTCCATTTATAGCAATCAAACTTAAACTTTTAAAACTCCTTTTTAAAACTTCCTTTTAAAAATGTTTCATGTAATAAAGATATGGCTTTGGTCAAACAACATTATATTCAACTGGCAAAACTAACAATATAATTAAGTTGTAGATTATTCTGAATTCCTTATAGGTACCATGGATCTTCTGCATGCTTACATACTGTGTTGTTTCAATAAGATAGTTCAGAGAATCAAAGAACACTGAAGCTAGAAGGGCCTTTAAAGATAATCTAGCAAAGCCATCCACTTTAAGGTTTTTAGGTAAAGACTTGACCTTAAAAGTCACATAAAAACAAAACAAAACAAAACAAAACAAAACCCTAATTCATTAAGTCAACTTTTAGGTGCCTTTCCTGATGGAGAAAGAGCTGATGGCAGAGGATAGGAGCAGTAGAATTACTACCTCACCTTTGAATAAGAACTTTAAAAGTTTCAAAGCACTTTTTTGTATGCTATTTCAGTTGATCCTCCAACTGAAGGATGGAATCACAAGTGAAGGCATTAAAAACAATGATGTCTTCATCCCCACTTTCTCCAAGAGCCAATCCCATCTGTCAGCACATCAGAGAGTCTTTCCCATCGGTGTCCTGTCTAGCTTGGTACACATGTGCGTGCGTGTTCTTCTGCTCCCTACATTTCTACACTTTAAATTCTGCTCACTTCACAGCCAAGCCCCCACCAGAAACCTCTTTGGGTTTACTCTCCATTAACTGCCCTCCCCTCCAACACACAGGAAATTTAATATATTACCAAAAGCTCAGTTAAAGGAAAAGGAAAAATTAATCAGATTCTACCACCCTAAGGTAACTTTCCCATATTTTATTTTTATAAGCATAATTATATAATCAGAGTAACACTTCTAATTTTCTCTGCTTTGCAAACCTGACATTTTGACATGTTCTTTTCTCATAAGGCTACAATGTCTTAGACTGAGCATGGCCTTTATACTGCATAGAAATGGATGTAGAGAGCTATTTCTCCATTTTTTTACTGTTAGATATTCAAATTGCTTCTAAGTTTTTTTCTGTTTATTTGCTATTATAAATAGCACCTTCATTCCTTGCTATATCTATGCTATAAATAGCATCTTTAATTCCTAATGGGATTTTGAGGGCAATCATATTTTAAGGACTTTTCATAATACTGCCAAAGAGCCTTTTCCAAAAAACAGGTAGAATTTAAAATGCCTTTGTCAGTCTTTCGAAGAGTACGAAACATGAAAGGATAGATAGCCAGCACTCATCACCTCGAATTTCTCATCTCACATTCATTTCTGTTTCTTTAATTCATTATAATTTGTTCTCTTTTTTAAGCAGCCTCCTGAAAACAACTTTTGCGAAGGTCAGGTATGACTCCCAATGGCCAAATCTAAGTATTTCTTTTTAGTAGTTATCCTATTGGGTCTCTGTAGGATTTATGCTTTCCTTACTTCCTCCTTTCTTGAAATTAATCTCCCTTGACTTCAGCAGTTCCACTAAATTTTTTTTGCACCCTCTCTCCCCTGAGATGCACGTTTCCCCGTCTTCCTCTCAGCCCACTTTTTCTGCTTGTCTCCAAATGTTGGCTTGGCTGGCTCTATTCGACCCCAGATGGATCATTCATTTCTTCAACTTGACCTTTGCCTACTGCCAATAGCTATCTGATCCGGTTTCTAATCTATCCTTTATCTTGAGTTACAGACCTGTATTTCCTTCAGTAACTGGACATCACTACCCAGAATTAACAGTATTCTGCTTTCAGCCCAGAGTGTGCTGTCCTGCTCATGCCTTCTCCCAGTCAGGAAGGCAGAAACCTTACTTACTCTCCTGTCCTTCCCCTCTCCTCCATCTTCACGTTCTGCTAGTTACCACGTCCTGTCTCTTTCCATGCAGAATGCTTACATACAGTCTGATCTCTCCTTTGGCTTAAAAAAAAAAAATCATCTCTCACGTGGACTACTGCAATTGCTTTATGATTGACTCCCGTTTCTAGACCGTACCACTTGTGACTTACCTCCTGCATCACCACACACGTTCATATTACAACTCCGCTCAAAAACCTCTGATGACTCCTAATTCTTCATCATACTCATCTCCGAAATCTTTTGACTACATATACTACCTACTTTCTTTTTTTAAGATTTTATTTTATGTTAGAGAGAGAGAGAGAGAGGGAGAGGGCACGAGCGGGGGGGGGGGGTAGAGGGAGAGGGAGAGAGAGAATCCCAAGCAGAGTCTGTGCTGAGTGTGGAGCCCTACATGGGGCTCGATCTCAGGACCCGGAGGTCATGACCTGAGACAAAATCGAGAGTTGGACACTTAACTGACTGAGCTACCCACTGCCCCTTGATCACGTATACTTCTGACAGTAACAGTTGGGGACTCCAACCTCTGATAGTATGTATGTTTATTTATAAATAAACACTTAAAAAGTACAACATTTTATATAGGTGAGTCATACACATGTACTGTAATACTAATATTGTAAAATATACAGAGAAATTTATTAAGGTAAGAATACATGTGGGTGCACACACACAAATAATTTTCCAACATTTTGAAGGATTGCCTTCTGTGTCCCCTGAAGTAAGGTAATATAACTCTGAAGAACATAGGTTTCTGAGGATAAAACATAAATTCTTTAATACAGTACTCATTGTGTCAAAAGGACATGCTCCCCATTCTTCCCATCTCCTACCGTCACACCTCACATAACCTTCCCTACTGTCAGTAACCTGAAGCCGTTAGTTACTTTTCCAACATACAATGTTTCAGAAGTCCCCCCCTACCGCCCACCCGGACCCGCCTCTCCTTGAAAATTCCCACTTACTCTTTGAGACCTATCTCAAATGTTACCTCTTTCATGCAACTTCCTGATCCCATTCTTTCTGTTCATACCTTCATATACCACTATGCTGTGTTTATTGTCATTATCTCTCCCTCTTTCTTCCCCTAGATTCCAAGTATGCTGAAGGGCAGGGTCAACCTTTTTGGACCCACCAAAGTACATGGCACAAAGTAATGAACATAGGACATAAAAATAAGGATCAGTTCTTCTATCTAAGTAACATCTTATCAAGTCAGAACATAAAGCTGAGGGAAATGTTATGCTTCATATATTCCCATACAGGTAACTCAATTTCTAAGAGTAGAGAGACTGACAAGAGCTCAGTTTGGTTTAACTGGGCAAACAACTAACAAAAATGTAGTCTAACCGAGAGGTTTCTGAGGAGCCAAAACCAAAGACATATCTACTCATATCTACTCATTAGAAGCAGGGAATTTAAATACCTATGTATTGAATAGTGACCCAGTGCCAAGCACAGTGCCAAGGCCTCACCCTGTGTGCCTTTGATGGAAGCCCCTTTCCATCTGCAAGTATTCTAGTCAATTGCAACTCTGTTTCTCATCTAAGCTCTAGCTTCTAAAGGCACTGAAGTGTTCACACCAGTTGGCACATCGCTTTTTATTTGCAAAACTGTAATTTGCAGATCTTAAAATTATGAAATGTTAGAACTAGAAAAGAGCCTGGAACTCATTTAATCTAGGGCCCTCATGTTATAAAGGGGGGAGCTACTGAGGTCCACAGAAGTTAATTTACTCAAGGTCACGGGTGTGAGAACCCAGGGAGTCCATTGTGCAGTTTATTTTGTCTACCTCCTGCTTGAAAACAGAAATCAGCTTTTCTCATGGCCACTCACTAAGGCACCTGGGTAGCTCATTATTGATTACCTTAAGAGGAATATCCATTGGTACTTAAATTTAACCCACAGACTTTCTACATTTATCTTTTCTATATACTGAGAGCCTATGTTGTAAGTTTCTAATATGCAAGTATTTTAAAATTAAGTCTTAACCAAAAAAAAAAAAAAAAAAAGGAAAGGAAAAAGGAAAAAAAAAGGAAAAGAAAGAAAAGAAAAATGAACTCTCAGCCAGAATCATGAGCAAATCTCTTTTTCATTTCCAAACAGCACTCAGTACCTGAATGTGCTCTTTTGTGATCAGCCAGGGTCTGTGTGCGAGCAGCTTGTTAATTTCATTAAGATTTTTCAGTCTTTGCGGCACATATTCCAAACCATTCAACCACTCAGCAATCCCTCCTGTCTTTAAAAATTCATCCACGTGCATGTTTATTAGGTAGGAACATTGATGTCTAGCTGCAGCCTAAAACACAAGAAGACTCTGTTGATATAGCAATCGTGGTACGTGTCACATTCTACTAGTTCTAAACCAATAATAATAATGATAATTGATTTGGAGTTAAATAATTTTAATCACCAATAATTCTTTTCTTATAGATTCCTCCTCCTCCTCCAACTTCTATCACAATACACCATAGATTCTTGAACCAGTACACGTAGTCGATATTTGTACAAGCGAATAACTGTCCCATGTAGGCAATTACCTCCTCAGCCAGAGGTGGGTGTGGATTATCCTCAAATGCACTTCCTGGTTATATCAAGAACATACACGTCCATTTCATGATGGTAAGTGACATAAACTACGTTCTATTTAAAACTCAATAAAATCTCACTAACTTGTATTCTACCCATTCAGAACACAGCTAATTTGGGTGCTCCTCTTACCCCCTTTAAGATAACTGCGATTTCGGTCTTATCTGGGCACTTCACCCACTGAGATAAGACAAGTTCGCGGACACCTTCCTGCCCGTGCAGTCAAACCAGTCTTGACACTGGGAGTTTGGGAAATCCTTGCAATGCAGACTTTTCACTGCTCCTTTCCCTAGGCCTGCTTCTCAGGAAAACAGTATCGTTTCTTCATTCTATTTTCCATATCTTGCTTATCTCTTAGTTTATGATCATTCTAAGGCTGCCTGGGAACTTGCTGTGGTCAAATCTGTAAGCTGGAATTACAGTCTCAGTCGTGTTCGTCTGTGAAGAAACACAGAGCGCTGCCCTTCTCTTGTTTAAAACTCTGATGAGAGCATAAACAAGATAATCAAATCAAAGGTGGGAAAAATGAACCTGCTGACTGCCAGCTACCTCTGCCAGCCAGCTGTTCTCCTAAACCACCCCAACACAGGGCACTGGGACCAGGTCCTCTGTCTTTTTCTCCAGGAATAGTCCACCTGTGACACTGTTCCTTTCTACCTTTCTCATCCCGATTTATAATTCTCTCCCCGCCCCGACTACAACATTAACTAGTTCACTAGTTTGTAGCAAGTACTATATTTAGTGGGGTTACGACTCATTTAAGAATTTTTCCTCCATTGGTGCTAATGGATACTCTCCTCTCCTCTGGCCAAACCAGTAACATTCTTCAAGTAGAAAATGACTAAATCAGACGTCACAACCAACCTGTTTTATATTAATAATAAAAAACAAGGCATCAAGAGCCAAGACACGACCTGTGGGATCTTAGGGATAATCCCTTGGACCCTACTAGTGTCATCAACCATAGGTGAATAAACTGAAAATTCAAGGAGAAACTGGACCTTTAAGGCATGTAAAGCATTCCAAATGCATCCCAGACACGCGGTATCCTAAAGACCACAGGCTTCTTCAAGTCTTATTTCTAGAAAAGGGTACTGAGCTCTACACACAAATACACACACACACTAGGAGCGGGGAGAAGGGACGAGCAAGGGCGGTGTGGCGGGAGCACAGGCAGCCGGGAAGCGGGCGCACCATTATCGCGATGTAGTGCCTGTGCGGTAGAGGAAGGGGACCATCCATGCGCAGCATATAGAACTGGCTCCGCAGGAAAGACTCCAGGTACTGAGTATGCAAACTCATGACCTGCGTGATGTTGTCCAGGCGGCCGGAAGTAGAGTACTCTTCCACAAGAAAGTTCGTACGCTCATCCACCGTGTTCGCTTGGACAACCTGGTGATGGAGAAGCACACAATGAGTACTGGGAAGCAATGGATCTTTTGTTTACACACATGATGCCACTCTGGAAGCAAGCGAATGTTCTCTGGGTAGGAACAGACCCTGAAATTACGCAGTTGCTCATACCAGCGACAGAAATTTAAAAAAAAAAAAAAAGGAAAGAAAAAAGCACCGCTCGTTTTTGGCTCTGGGACCGCAATTTATTAAACAACAAATGTCAAATCATCAAACACACAGCTCTGAACTCGGAGAAAAGCAGCTTCCATCTGCTCTGCCCGGCGCGGAAGGCACAATTTCCAGGGCCCACTTGCCTGGCCGTTATCACGCCAACTGGTGGAGCGGGAAGCGGTGGTATTCGATTCCCACAGTTACAATTTTATCCCAACGGCCTACGAAGATATTTAATCACATTGTCTTAAGACAAGAGTTTCAGTCTGATCTTGTGCTTGTTTTTGTTCAACATAAAATAAAAAGCTTTCTGAAATCTTTTTAGGGACAAAGGAAAACATGATAATTTGTAGGAAAGTGTTAATTGAAAAATTAATAAGGACACTAGAATACTGTGATTCCTATTTTCAGCCTATTGTATTAATTGTTAAAAACAAGGTTGGTTATGAAAATGGACATCCTCTATCCCAGGGACTCAAAAGAGCTTTCTCAAAAATAGATTATTATATGTAGCTTTATACACAGTGACAGCTTGGGCATCACACCAAGAATTGGGTCTGAAGGTGTTAAGAGCTTATTAGCACCTTGTAGAAGGACCCGGCTCTGTGGGAATTAATGGACATGAGATGAATATTTCTAGGACTGGTTCATTATTTATTGATATTTTAGAATTAGAATTCTAGACTTAAGAATACATTTCTTATTTCAGATTCAAAATTAAATTCGAGCTCATGCACCTAGTTAACCGCAGAGCCTGGTCTAGAATCCAGATTTCCTAAAGTCCAGACTACTGGTCTTCCCAGAGATCCATACTGTTATTAGAAACTGTTTACTTTTTAAGTCTGGCTTCACAGTCTCTTCTGAAAAATAAGTACAAATTATACAAAGGCACTATTGACCGAGGAAGACGTAATCCCAAAGGAAATAGAACGTTTGGAAAGTGTGAACTGTGAGGAAATGTTAATTACAATGGCGTAAAAAAAGCAATTTCAGTTCAACTAGTTATAAAGCCAAGTACACTTTCATTTGCTCATTTCCCCCCATTTTGTCAACTATAGGGACCAAGTGATGTTAAAAACAATAAGCTCTGGATTAACCACATGTAATTAAACATAGAATATTTGTTAATTTTGTTTTGTCTTCTCCAGCAGAATCTCTTTTGTTTAAGCAATGCCAAAGGCGTAAACAAATGCAAGAGGTCCTGAGAACAGCGGTGGCTTCTGCAAACCACCTTACCTTCAATATATAGCGTGAAAAAAAATGTTTCAGGAAGTCTTTATGTAGATGAGGTAATCACTCCACCAAGATCCCTATGCTGTAGGAGAAAACAGGCACAAACACAGTCCTTTCTGTAACGACTGGTCCCATCTAGATCAGCTAGAGATGGAGTTCCCAATGTTAACTTGTTAACATGTTTCCCATGTTAACATGACTGTTAACATTCCTTTAACCTTTCCATTCAGATGGTAAGGTCACTCAAAAAGCAAAATGAAGATGTAGGACTACTGACTCTGGCAAGGACCTGGCATGTATTTTTCGAATTTTATTCATTCCTTCTTTTAAGATAATGCCTGGCACATAACAGGTGCTCTGTGTATCTCTGTTGACTGCTTTCAGAACAATATAGGAATAATGCTGGTGCTTTAAGATAAATGTCTTTGCAGTAGTGAATCAGGATATACAATCGTATTCAATAAGGCAATAACTCCTCCAGCAGAGAAAAACTCCCCAGTTTAGTGGTTCTTAAAGTTTTCTTAGCTCAAGTATCTATCTGAGAGGCATCTAGGAATCTAGGATGTCGGGCACTTTGCTGGGATCTTTCATAAGGATGTATACCAACAAAAAGGCACAAATCTTCTCTTGATTGTCATTTTACGACCTCTCCTTCTTGAAATTACCATCTTGCTTCCCGCCCCCCCCAACTAAAGGTACATACCGTACAGACTGAATTGACATTCTCTCCAAGAGACTTCTTAGAACCAAAATAAACAAAAGAGTAACGACTAATGATGTAATGTCATTACGTTACGTATAATGTAACGACTAATGTCGTTAAATTAGTAACGACTAATGTCATTAAATTAGTAACTACTAATGATATTCTGCTTAATAGGTTTAGTTGGGAAACTCATTTTTTCAACTCAAAGTATATTTTCTTAACATTTATGAAACCTATAATCACCATGAAACAGTGGACATTTAAAAACCTAAAACCTTTGGGTTAATATTAAACTTTATTTAAAAGAAACTTTATTACTGTTAATAGCTTTGTTCAGAAAAGTTATATTTGAAATCAAATATGGTAAAATTCACTTTTTTCTAACCTTGCAGAACTCTAACTCTTAACCAACTCTAAAATAAGATGGCAGATTACTAAACACATAAACTTTTAAGTGAAGTTCAAAAGAAAGTGTCTCTGTGGTTCTCTGAAATAGAAATAAGGAACAAAAAGCAAAACACAGGTTTACTCCCCTATTAAAAATGGAGATATTCTTTGATACAATCCAGTTATTTTTTCATATCACACTTAATGTATTTTAAGACAGATAAACTTACTTCCTTCTCTGGAATAAAGGCACTTGGTCCTCTTGTCAAGGGCTGAGATACTCTGATTCTTTTATCCTGTTTTCAAAAGAAAAGTTTTATGTGTTAATGATGACATTCTAATTAAAGTTAAATTGGTGCAAATAAATTGCTGAGGTACTGAAACAAACTGAATAAATAGAACATGAAATCAAAATAAGGGACAGGTCTCAGATCACAGAAAATCCACAGGGCTAATGTGTGAATAAGATAATGGGGCAAGTTCCTCAAAAAGTTAGAAACTGAACTTATGATCCAGCAATCACACGATTAGCTATTTACCCAAAGAACACAAGAACACTAATGCAAAAGGATACATGCTTCCCTATGTTTATAGCAGCATAATTTACAATAGCCAACATACGGAAGCCACCCAAGTGTCCGTTGATTCATAAGTGGATAAAGAGGGTATAGTATATATACACAACAGGATATTATTCCACCACAAAAAGAATGAAATCTTGCCATTTGCAACAACATGGATGGAGTCAGAGAGTATAATGCTGAGCTAAATAAGTCACTCAGAGGAAGACAAACGCCATATGATTTCACTCATATGTGAAATTTAAGAAACAAAACAAACATGCAAAGGGAAAAAAAATGAGAGATAGAGAGATGAATCAAGAACCAGACTCTCAACTGTAGGGAGCAAACTGATGGGTCACCAGGGGGAGGCAGCTGGGGGGATGGGTGAGATAGGGGATGGGGATGAAGGAGAGCACTTGGGATGAGCACCAGCTGATGGACAGAATTAGTGAATCACTATATTGTACACCTGAAATTAATTTGAACACTGTATATTAACTAACTGGAATAAAAATAAAAACGAGAAAAAAAAAAAAAGGATAATGGGACAAGTGCCTACCTCAGTCCAAAATTTCATTTCCCTCAGTCATCTTCTACAGCCCTGGAGATTTTCAGCCCATAGTTGACGTGACTGAAACTGTTGATCTCCATAATAAAATCATATCTAACAGTATCCTACTGTACTGTTAGACCTCAATCTGGAAGCTCCTAGGTTGAAATCAGAGGATTCCATGCAATTCCCCAAAGTAATGACCTGACCTGTGGGGTTCTTTTTCCACAATAAAATAGGAATAGACATATCTAATATAAAGTTTTGAAGCTTTAAGTAAGAAAAATGTAAAAGTTGGAGAAGTAGAGGTTAACTTAAGGTAAGAAATGGAGAACTTAGCAATCCATATTGGCCCACTTGCTATTCTATTGAGGACTAACTGGGAGATTGTCAGTGGTATTCTAAGTTTTGATTTATTTGAAGTTTTTATTTTTTTTGTTAATTTTTTTAAATTAAAAAATATTTTGGTAACCCCATTTAAGTGTGATATCTATAAAGCTGCAAACATTCCAATTAGGTAATAACTTCCTTCTCTGCAGGCATGTTGGAAAGCTGGAATAGTCAGAGAGAGGCTCTCAGGGCTCTAAAGTCCTTCTTAGCCAGGAGGAGAGAGAGAGGAGACATGGCTACTTAATTTTCTATACTGTAAGCAATATTCTGAAGTTCTAAAAAAGAAGCCCTTTAAAACTGTAACATAAAAACATGGACTATGCTTACACCATACACAAAAATTGGCTCAAAATGGATTAAAGACTTGGATGTAAGACCAAAAACCATATAACTCCTAAAAGAAAACATTGGCGGTGAGCTCCTTGACATTGCTCTTAGCGTTATTTTTTTTGGATCCGACTCCAAAGGCAAAGGCAACAAAAGCAAAAATAAACAGGTGGGACTACATCAGACTAAAAAGCTTCTGCACAGCGAAGGAAACCATCAACAAAATAATAAGGCAATCTACTGAATGGGAGAAGATATTTGTAAATCATGTACCTGATAAAAGGTTAATATCCAAAATACATAACAGACTCATATAATTCAAAAGCAAAAGCAAAAGTTCAATTTAAAAAATGGGCAGAGGACCAGAATAGACATTTTTCCAGAGAAGACATTCAGACGACCAGTGGATACATGACGAGATGCTCAACCTCACTCATCATCAGGGAAATGCAAATCAAAACAACAACGAGATATCACCTCACACCTGTCAGAATGGCTAAACTCAAAAATGCTAGAAACAACAAGTGTTGATGATGATGTGGAGAAAAGGGAACCCCAGTGCCCTGCTATAGGGAATACAAACTGGGGCAGCCACAGTGGAAGATAGGATGGAGGGTCCTCAAAAAATTAAAAACAGAACTACCCTATGATCCAACCATTCTACTTCTGGGTGTTTATATGAAGAAAATGAAAACACTAATTAGAAAAAAATATATACACCTCTGTGTTTATTGCAGCATTATTTACAATAATCAAGGTATGGAAATAATCTATTCATGAATGAGTGAATGGATAAAGAAGATGTGGTATACTGTACATATACAATGGATTACCCCTCAGCCATAAAAGACAAAGAAATCCTTCCATTTGCGACAACACAGACAGACCTTGAGGGTATTAGTCTAAGTGATGTAAGTTAGAGAAAGATAAATATGGAGTGATTTCACTTACATATGGAATCCAAATGATGAAACAGATGAACGAACACACAAAACTAAACCAAACCTCCAGATAGGGAAAATAGGTTGGTGGTTGCCAGAGGGGGAAGGGTGTAGAGGTGGGCAGACTGGTGAAGGGGTTAAAGAGGTACTAACTTCCAGTTATAAAATCAGCAAGTCACAGGGATGTGATATACAGTGTGGTGACTACAGTCAATAATATTGCATAGCAAATCTGAAACTTACTAAGAAAGTAAATCTTAAAGGTTTTCATCACAAGACCAAAAAATGTGTCACTGTGTGGGGTAACAGATGGTAACTCGGCTTAAGGGGGTGATCATTTTGGAGTGTATACAAATGTCGAATCATTATGTGGTACACCTGAAACTAGTATAATGTATGCCAATTAAACTTCAATAAAAACAAAATAGGGACTCAGCCATGGTTTGCAAAGATTATAAAGACTGTGTGGGAAACTGAAGAACATGAGAACAGAGTCTCCTGGAAAAGAGTGCATTAAGCTTCAGGTGCCACCAAGCCCTCCTCAGGCAACTTCCACACCGAGGAAGTGACTGTAAATGGTTCCTTATCCAATGTTGGCAATATCTGTTTCATGTGACCTTGTCTCTTGTCCAGAGCAGATCAGACGAATCAGCATAGAAAGAGATCTGCCGCCTATGGGTGCTTTGATGTAGAAGTTCTGCCCAAACACAACAGGGCAATTTGTTGGATGGGTTAAGATTCTAGAGTTACTGGAGGTATATGCAAGTAATGGACCCTGACAACAAGAAGAGCAACAACATAGCACTCAGAAAAAGAGGCAGAGAACACAATAAAGATGCATTAACACATGTCTGGTGCTAAGGGGAAAAGCACTAGCGTTTCTATAGGGTGACCAGCGAAGTCAAGTCTAATCATGGGCTCTCCTGTGTCTTTTCCTCCCTTCCATCCTGTCCTCTTTCTCTCTCCATGAGGTAACTGGAGTCTTTTTTGTTCCTTAAAATCAAAGAGCCTACCAAACACAAAATAGTTATTCTAATCCATTGCTTTTATTTTTTTAAGATTTTTATTTATTTATTTGACAGAGACACAGCCAGAGAGGGAACACAAGCTGGGGGAGTAGGAGAGGGAGAAGCAGGCTTCCCGCTGAGCAGGGAGCCTCATGTGGGGCTTTTAGTTCCCAGGACCCTGGGATCATGACCTGAGCCAAACGCGTATATGTATGCTTAATGACTGAGCCACCCAGGCAACCCCCAACCCCTTACTTCAATGAACAGCAGTTACAAAACCAACGGACAAAAGGAGACAGCCAGGCGTTGAGTGATTTTTTTGAGAATCTGATCAGGTACTGTGACAGACTCAGAGGATAGAGAGCAAGCAAAAGAGGGAGGGTCCCTGCTCTGATGAGCATGGCACACAACCTCCTTCAATTTTCAGAATTCTATCGGAATAAATATATTGAGTAATGATAACCTAAACCGGCTCAGGTTTCAGAAAGGACCAGGCATTTAGGTTGTATTTATAAAGTGATGACAAATATATCTTAACCTACTGGTCAAAAATACTAGAAGACTCCATGTAAAAAGGAGTGATTTAGAAATTCTAATATCGGCATTTCCTGTCTACATCAACCCAAATCTAGTTTTACCCAGAAAAATAATTTAAAAGAAAATAACAGATTTCTTCCCTCTGCTAGCTGCTGTGAGTTATAGGAAACAACATTTCAAATACTCTCTGTAATACAGCCTAATGCAGTCCTATGTGAAAAGCAATTTCCTTGATGACGAATCATTTCAAATGAATAGAGCAGTTAAGAGAAACTGATTGTGAGGACCTACCACAGGTTTGAGGAGAAAAAATGCCAATGGGAAGGTAAGTGGGGGTTTTTGTTTATATTTATAAAAAATACATAAAATTCAGAGAAAAGACATGGAGAGAAAAACCAAAAGCGTATGAAGGGACTTTGGGAGACAAAGAATGATTACTAATATGATTTGTTTGTAAAAATCAGCTTTGAGACATTTATCAACCGACTTTACCATTACATGCTTGAAATTGTTATTCTGCCTACCATAATATTTTCTGGAACAGAAGATGTTCAAATCTGAAATAAGTCTTCATAACAAATGGAAGTGTCCACTGCTGCACTTCAAAGAACATAACATCTCTTCGTTTGACCAACTGATAAGAAGCAACAGAGACTCAATTTCATTTGTGTCAACATTCGTTTGCTCATTTAGTCAGCAAACATTGAGAATCTACAACGTGCCAGACACAAATAAGGATTAACCTGACAGAAATGCCTACAGCCAACCACGCGGCATATGACAGAGCCCAGAGCAGATGCATACCCACGGTGATGAAGGAAGAGATCATTTTAACAATTACCACTTGCTCAGTCATCCCCCTTTCGTTGAACATTGAAGTTATGTCCAGTTTTCACTATTATGAATAACGCTATGATGAGGATCTTTGTATAAAGAGATTTGAGGGCAGACTGTGGTATTCAGGATAGGTTCTTTAGAAGA